GAATCCCTGTGAGTTCAAGGCCAGCCTGAACTGTGTAGTGAGACCCTGTCTCAAAAAGACAAAAAAACACAGGGTCTCTCTAAGTAGGTAAATTATCCAGGCTGGCCTCAAACTCCCAACAGTCCTCCTGCCTCAGCCTCCTGAGTGCTGGGATGACAGGTATGTGTCACCATGCCTGGCTCAACTCTTTCTCCCTAATAACTTCTGAACCTCAGTTTCCTCCTCAGTGATCGTCCAGCCCCTCAGAACTGGGGAGACTTGGCCCGTGGGCTCAGCTCTGAGGAATGTTGTCATCTCGCTGTCACACGTGTGACACCTCATTTTCTGTCCCTTCAGGCCCCCCACGGGCACCTGCAGAGCCCTCGTCCCCACCAGTGTCTGCGCCAGAGAACCCAGGCCGGGTGGCCTCTGCTGACCCTGTGGACACGGAGCCCCCTGGGGAGGCGGCTCCCGTGTCACGGGAGGCTGGGGGAGCAGGTGAGTGCGGCTGTGGCCACGGAGGAGGTGGGGACACAGGGCTCCCAGTAGGCGTCGTCTCCAGGGACCCCTGTCACTCCCTCCCCTCCAGGTGGGCCCCAGGCGGGCGTGCGCTCCATCATGAAGAGGAAGGAGGAGCCCGGAGACCCCTCAGCCCACAGGAGGAGCCTGCAGTTTGTGGGGGTCAACGGCGGGTGAGGAGCCCCCTACCCTGCAATTCTTGTGTGTCCCTCGGGTCCTGCAGGCACAAGAAGGAAGGGACCCAGCACCCTGTTCTGCATCTTTCATTTTGGTTAATTGGATGAATCAAACCACATTCAGAGCCAGGACTGGCAGCGCACACCTGTCATCCCAGCACTCGAGAGGCTGAGGCAGGAGGATCACTGCAAGTTCAAGGCCAGCCTGGACTACGTAGAGAGACCCTGTCTCAAAAAATAAATATAGAAAAGGGCTGGGGATATAGCTCATCCCCACTTTCTTGTGAAGGCCCTGGGTTCAATCCTAGTATTTCAAAAACATTTTTTTAAAAAAAGAGGGTCCTGTGGGACGTGGGACATTGGTCTGAGTTAGGAAGTGCTGCATGAGGCCCTGAGCACCCCCACCCCATGACATGATCAGAGTCACAGCTAATGTTTGTTTATTTTTTGTTCTTTAAGACAGGGCCAGCCTCAGACACCCTCCTGCCTCAGCCTCCTGAGTGCTGGGATCACAAGCGTGTACCACAATGTCTGGTGGCTGAGGCTTATTGAGCACTATGTACCTGGTGCCACAGACACATGTGCAGCCCCCTGTGGTCCGTGTCACCGTCATCCCCACCTGATTAGCATATGGGGACACTGAGGCCCAGGG